GGTCCCCAGACCTCGCGCCCCGTCAGAGAGGGCCACCCCGCGCCCGCGTCCACCTCGTAGTGTGGGATTTCTCCGGCCTCGCAGCAGCGAAAGCCACGGGCTCGCCAGGGCCCCTGGGCTGCTGACCGCCTGGCTTTGAACCCCTCTGGTGTTGGCGGGTGAACACCTGGGGCAAAGCTGTCTTTTTCCTTTGTCTGCCTGTTCCCAGCTACTTGTACAGCAGCGGCCTGTCAGCTAGAGGGCCAGGGATGGCCGGACAAGCGGGCTGTCGGCCCATACAGTCCTACCGAGGCGTCGCGTAGCAACAGCCCTGGCAGTTAGTCCCCCCACACGCGCGGGCACGCTGGGGGGCCCTGGGGTCACCTTTGGCTATGGGGTCTATCGTTGAGCAGCCCTTGGCTGTCATCTCAGCGTCACACCGGTGACAGCGGGTGAGGAAGCGGGTGGGGGGCGGGCGCAAAAGCACAGCCCGTGGTTCTCAGATGTGGCCCACCAGCAGCCGAGAGCTCAGCGAAATGCACACTGTCAGTGCTCCCCAAATGCCAGAAACGCTGGGGGTGAGACTCGGAATCTGTTTCATATGCCCTCCGGGTTCCCAGAGCCAGCGTGAGCACTCAGCGCCACAGGCCTGAGGAGCTCTGGCCCTCAGCAGCATGTGCAAATGTCCTGTGGTGGGAGTGGCTGAGCTATTGAAGGGACCCGGAGAAGATACTCACAGCCGGGGGGCTGTGGCAGGCACCCTGATTCCTAGGAATAAGGAGGGGGTCACGGAGCACCCTCTGAAAGAGACTGCGTGACTTTTCTAGATTCAGGTCAGGAGCAGGGCTAAGGCCGAGGCACTAGAAAGGAGACCTCAGAAGCAGCTAACAGGAGTTGGGGTCTCCTTTGGTGCGGGAGGAGTGTAGAGGGAGCCCTGCTCTGAGGAGCTCGCAGGAGCAGGCTGGCGTCTTTGGAGGTGCCCAGTATCCTGCCATCTCTCCTGAAGTCGCAGCTATGAAAATATATTCGAGGCTTGAGACACAGACTCAGTTAGATGCTGTTTCACATGTCTGTTTAGCAAGCCCTTCCCGGGTGCCCTCGGGCCCCACCCCAAGCCCTTCCCGGGTGCCCTCGGGCCCCACCCCAAGCCCTTCCCGGGTGCCCTCGGGCCCC